GAGGACACTTGTCAAGCAGTACCCCCACAGGAGTCATCTTACTTAATTTTTTTGTCAACAACTTGGTTAAGTGGATTTTATAAATGATTCAAAATATGTCTGAGTGGCTGGAACTAGAAGCAAAAATGGTCTTTAAAACAACCTTGATAGCGTTTCCTGCTGACAGACAAGGGGGCGGAGATGATGAACGTTCCCAAAGCGACAGATCCTTCTTCACGAGGGAAGACGGTTGTATGAAGGTTTAACACGTTGAGCCTAGCAGCTAAGAAATTCTATTCATTCTAGGACGCTAGAATTTTGAACTCGGGGGAAAGAGGAGAAAAAGTCTGGGAGATGAAGCCTGGCCTACACTGTATAACTTTGGTTTTACGAGGAAACAATGAAAATATTGACGTTGAAATGGCCCCTAATAAAGCCCTGGGGGGTCCCAGTTGGTGATTTATAGCCTCTCAGCTCCAAATTCTCTCTTCATGGCTTTGCACATGGTGCTGGAGTCGGATCCTGAGGACCTTTGTGCTCTGTCTGCCAGGTGGCCCGATGCAGAGCTTTGTCACAGGGGGCGCTGCAGGAGAGGTGAGGGAGGCGGTGGTTTGCCTTCCTGGTTCTGGTGTTTTCCTCTCTCTCCTTGTTCCTGCAGCAGCGGGGACATCCTGTGGCACTCATCTCCGTCGATTCAGCAGTCCCCTTACAGGTGAAGGTTACTAGAGATTTCTGCCAGAGCCCCAGCTGGCTTCCTAGAAAGTACGATGCCCCCCACCTGCAGCTTCCTGAGCAGTTGGCCAGCGACCCAACTGGATGCCAGAGGGTGGAATGTAATCAGCATCTCACTGAACTTCTCTGCTAGCCTGAGGGCCATAACCGCACCCTCTTCAATAAGGCCTGCATCTCAATTTGGCTATCATAAAGCCCTCTTCCAAGTTTGTTCCTTCCTCGGGTGGTCTGCCTCAGTCCTAGGTAAGAGCTGCTCTTTGTATCTGTTATTTGTATAATCTTGGGAGTTTCTTAACTCCTTATAGTAACGAATTCTCTGTTACTGGTTAGTAATTCTTCACATTAAACTTTCCCTGTTCATTGCTGTGTGATTTCTGTTTCTTGACTAGACCTTGATTAATATACTCCTATCAAACAGAGATGTGTGCTTCTTAGTTCATCAAAAGCTATGTACAAGAAATTCTATGGTAGCACTATTCGTAATGGCTAAAATGTCCATAAGGGGAAGAGATAAATAATTTGCGGTATATTCATGGAAAGGAATGCTATAGAACAATGAGAGTAAATCAACTACAAACACATGCAACAACACAAACAAATAGAAATATAATGTTGAGCGAAAGAAGCAGAAACAAAAGACAACATGCAGATGATTCCATTTAGGTGAGGTTTAAACACAGGCAAAACTAATTCTGGTGCTAGAAAGCAAGAAAAGTGGTTATTCCTGGAGGGGACTAGTGGTTGGAAGGGGGAACAAGGGTCTCTGGGATGCTGGCAATGTTCTGTTTCTTGGCCAGGGCATCGGTTATGTAGATCATTGTTTATGCAAATTAATTGAGCAGTGCATTTTTGATGTTTCAAAATTAGTCACGCTGAAAAGTATTATCTATTTAATAAATATGTAATAAAAACATACATATTTATTGAATTTATGAGCTATAGTTATTTGATTCAAATAATAAAGTCAGGCTCACTCATTCAACAAAAACATATGAACGTATTATATACCACTCACTGTATATGGTGCTGAGGCTCTAGAGATGAATTAGTTATTCTTGGCTCTGTCCATAAAGGGACAAGTTGAAAATGACAACTATAACACAACGTGACTCGTGGATTAATTTAGGCATAGATGGAGTGCTGCGGGTGGAAGAGGGAGCCAAGAATTGAAAAGCTACACATAGAAAAGTGGCGTCTTTGAGGCACCTGGGTGGCTCAGTCAATTAAGCGTCCAACTTCGGCTCAGGTCATGATCTCACGGTCCGTGAGTTCGAGTCCCACATCTGGCTCTGTGCTGACAGCTCAGAGCCTGGAGCTGTTTTGGGTTCTGTGTCTCCCTCTCTTTCTCTCTCTGCCCCTCCCCCATGCTCTCTCGCTCTCTCTCTCTCTCTCAAAAATAAATAAACATTAAAAAATTAGAAACTTTTTTTTAAAAGAAAAGTGGTGTCTGAGAGGGGACCTTCCCTGTGCACAGTGTAGAAGCATATACTCGCTCCACTGTCCTCTGTAAAAGGATGAGTAAGAGGTGGCCAAAGAGAAAAGGGTAAGGGTGTTCTAAGCATGTGCAGAGATGTGAATTTTGAAAGTCACCATAAATGCAGAGAATAGAGAGCGTTTGATGTGGCAGGATTCCTGGTAGCACTGGAAAGAATGGCAAAAGATGAAACCACAGAGGTGAGCTGAGGTCTGATTGTGACACGTTTGTACACCTTCTACAAGTGTGAGTTTCGCATGAGGAGCCAACAAGTGCTGTATAGATAGCCTTCACAGATGCCTTTCTGCCCCCACCCCTGCCCACCACACACCCCTGATGCCCTTTTTAGTCCTCTCCCACAGTGAATCTGGGTTGGCCAATGAAACCAACAGAATCTGGTTATAAGTGACACTGCGTGACTTCTGAGGCCATTGTGGCTTCTGCCTCGATTTCTTGGAAAACTTGTTTCAAGGGGAGCCCGTCATCGTATAAGAAGTCCAGCTATCCTGAGTCCACGATATTGTGAGGAAACACAGCTTAAGAGACACCATGGGAGAAGAACTATTCCTCAGCCCAGTCAAGCTTTCAGGTGGCTCCAACTTTAGCTGACATCTGACCACAACTGCATCAGAAACCCCAATGGAGAATGTGTTGAACGTGGTCAACATAAGAACTGTAAGAAAGAATTTTTTCAGCTCTAGGCTGTATCATGAATCACTACATTTCAGGGTGGTTTATTACACAGTACTAGACAACTAGAACAGTTTGGAATAGCAGTGTGACATAGAGAGTTGTTTTTTTTTTTTTTTTTTTGAAACACAGTCTGGGGACAGCGTGGAGGATGGGTTGAAGAAGGCAGAGGCTGAAGGTACCAAGATGTGTTCAAAGGTTTTTACAGGAGGATAATTGGATGGAGAGTCTGGAATCTGGAGAACTGACAGGACGTAGAGATCAAATAAACGTGTGGTGGGAGGGAGAGGAAGACTGTGAAAATCTTTCACGTTTTTGCCCAAAGAGAATAGGTGTGGACAATGTCCATAATAGAAATAAGGGGCTTTATGGGACATAGATAATGAACTGTGTACATGCTTAAGCTGAAGGGTTTACAAGGATATATTGGTGAAGAAGTCAAATAAGCAGTTTTATTTAAGGCACATAGGAAATTGGGGCTGAACATGTACACATATACACACACAGGCTCACAGTTACATGTAATGATGGTTGAAATTAGAGATGCGATCACCAATAGAAAGCGTTTAGCGCTACCAGAAGAGGGACACATCATGGAATTTCGGAAGACTTGGGGCAGAGGAGGAAAAGCCTGCAAACAAAACTGAAAGACATAAGTCAGAGAAGTAGCAAGAGAAACAGGAGACCCATGTCTTATAAGCAGATGGACAAGAGAATGTCAAGAAGATGGAGTTTTCATTGTCAAAAGCCACTGCAACGTCAAGTAAACTAAGCCCGTGGTGCATGGCTTTGACAATTAGGAGGTTATTAGAGAGGTCTGAATGAGACTACTTTCAATAATCTCGCTTTGATCGGAGTCAAAAGCAGCAACTATGAATTTAGATTACTCTTTAAAGATATCTGATGGCAAAATGAACAACAAAAATAAGTTTGTTTGAGAACAATCACAAGCTATGAGGAAGGAGGAGACTAAAGACAGGTTGGCTGGCAGAAAGTCCCCGAACCAGTGGGAGGGGTGGGATAGAGGGGTCTCCAGAGTCATCTGTTTTATGGGTGTCTGTTCTTCCAAGTGTGGTCCACAGACCAGTAGCATCAGCGTGACCTGGGAACATACTAGAAACACAGAATCTCAGGAAACACCACAGTTCTAGGGAATCATAGTCTGCATTTTTTTTTTTTTAATTTTTTTTTTCAATGTTTATTTATTTTTAGGACAGAGAGAGACAGAGCATGAACGGGCGAGGGGCAGAGAGAGAGGGAGACACAGAATCAGAAACAGGCTCCAGGCTCTGAGCCATCAGCCCAGAGCCCGACGCGGGGCTCGAACTCACGGACCGCGAGATCGTGACCTGGCTGAAGTCGGACGCTCAACCGACTGCGCCACCCAGGCGCCCCTATAGTCTGCATTTAAACAAGATCCACAGGTGATGTGATTGTGGCGCCTCACAACAACCAGGTAAGATAGGCATTACCGTTCCCATCTTTAGCTAGGATGATACTCAGGCTCAAAGAAGTTGCCTGGGATAGCGGAGATGATTAGGGGCTCAGCCAAGTTTCTATTCGTAGACAAGCAAGTTCACAGGGATTTCTACTTTCACTCAATTCAGGAGAATTGTTTCAGGTGGTAACGCTTCTGACAATCAATTAATCACAGGTCTGTAGTTCTAATGCCATCAGCTTTGAGTTTGTTGTTACAGCGACGGTTGAATCCCTTCCTGAGCCTGGGAGGCCTGGCGAGAAACCACGTTGACAGCATTGGAACTTCACTTCCCAGCAAGCCCCGCGTCCTCCTACCGCGCTAGGCATGACGGGCGTCTCCTCCCGCTCTCTTCTCTGGCGGAAGAACCTTGAGGCGGGAACGGCAGCCAGGCGTAAGGGCGCGCGGCATCCTGGGATGTGTAGTCTGGCCGGGACCGGGACACCCCCTCGGATGAATGGGGCCGGAGCCGACTGCGAACTACAGCTCCTCGGCCGGCAGCGTCGGTGGTGGCCCCGGAGGAGAGCAGCGCTGCAGGGCGGTGGGGATGTTCTGTGCCGCGGCGAACGCAGCAGCCGGGCTTCTTAGGGTGGCGGTATAAGCGGGCGCCTGCTTGTGCGCGCTCGCTCTCCTTCCCCGGCACCGGTCATGCGCCCGGCGTTCGCGGTGGGCCTGGTGTTCGCAGGCTGCTGCAGTAACGTGATCTTCCTAGAGCTCCTGGCCCGGTAAGTGACCTTCGCGGGCCGCACCCCCGCTGGCGGCGCGCGGGGGGCCCGGGTAGCACGGCCAGCGGAGTCGGCTGCCCCGTGGTTCCGCGCGCTGCCCGCTGTCCCGTCCACCAGCTTCACAGCATCCCTCGGAGGGGAGCGCCCCGGGTGCCGTCCTCACGCACTGGGGACCGAAGCCTGCAGTTTTTCTCGTGACGGGTCCAAGGTCGGCAGGAAGCTCGTGGCAGAACCCAGGTTTCTTCCACCTCTTCTCGATTCCGTTAATGCCACGCGTTTGACTTGGGCAAAGCTTTTTGACTTCTAAAGCAGTCTGATTTTGTACTCCCTGCAAAGAAAGTTTCTTTAATGTGGCTCTCCAAAACGTTTGTTTTATTGGCTTTAGAGATGGCTGGGAGCACTCGACCCAGCATACCTCCCAGCGATGTAGTAGCGTGGATTTTTATTCAGAGAGCCTGTCCCCTTGACCGGAGAGAGGAATTCCAGCTCTAAGATGTTACAGTCTTTGAATTGAGAAGCATGCATTTGGAAGCGTAACTTTAAGAATGATTATGACACGTTCCCAAAAGGAAACCAGGTTGGCTTTATTGAGGTGGCACTCGATACTGAGTAGTGCGTAAAGTTCAGTGGATGGAAACTGTTGTTCCAGAAAAGATAACAGGTAGACTAGAAAAGGCTCAGCATTAAAAAATCTCAACTCTTGGTTCTGGGGTCTCCCTTTTCTGCCTGTAAAATAAAATAATATCTGTGGCCATGTTTCTGAATCTGGACATCTCTACTGATCATCCGAACAATCTTGTGTACCAAATAGGTCAGAAATTATAATCTCTTTTACTGAAAGTGAGACAGGTCCCAAGAAGGTAGATGGTCTTTTACTGTAAATTTAAGTGGCAGAACCAGAACTAGAATCCAGGATACCTAAACTCTAGTCTAGTACCGTCTGCAGCCCCTCTGTTATTTTTGAACTTGAGCGTCCCACAGAATTTTGGTCAGTTTCTCACGTGGAGGCTACTGGAAATGTATTTTATTTTCATGATCCCATTGATACGTCATTCTGAAGCAATCAGTTTACTTACGGTGTTGGTTAATTTTTGCTGTTAAAGAGCTTGAAATTTTATGCAGAAAGTGTTGATAAAGATCTGTCACTTCTTTGGGGAGTAGGTGGAGAGAGGTTTAAAAATGGAAAGAAAAAATGTATCTGGTTGTTAGTCTTACAAACTTCAAAGTAAGATCACTTCGGAAATTGACTTAAAAATATTAAGATGATAAAATCAGGCCAGCCACGGAAATGAAAGTCAGAGAATAATAGTGTAATAGTTGTGTTGAATATGTCACTAAGTTAAATCCTACCAAAGGCTGTGTGACTTCAGAGTATGTAGCAACTGAAGGTCCTCTTGACTAAGTGTGAGCTCTTGGCTAAATTACTTCATCTCCTGAGTCTGCTCTTTGAACTTCAAAAGGCTGGTGGTCGCTCTGCCAGACCCACAGGGTTTTGAAGGATTGAATGAGATGCACGTGCCAAGCGCCTGAAGCACACTGACCTTCCCCTTCTAAACTTTCAGTACAGGTAAACCTTGCTTTATGAGCTGCTCATGAAAAGCTGTGGATAAATCTAATGCTTCTGTGAATTGTAGGAGCTTCTATGTAGAACAGTCTGAATAATTTATAAACAAATCCTCCTTCTTTAACCTTTTTTATAAATCTGGCTCTTTGCAGTACAGCAGTGGGTTTTCATAAAGCTGTGAGGGGTACATTTGTTAATGTAGTGGGTGGCATACATCAGGCTGAGTAGCAGCTTTTTCCTGATTTGCTTGGGCAACTCACGACTTACCATGCCAAAGATCAATAAAATGAGAGCTGGTTGAACCAGATGGCCTTTATGGTTCTTTGTAGATTTGGCCTCCTCATCACTTTTGACTTTATCTTGGGACATCACGGTGGAAAGCTCATAAATTTTTATAGAGCAGGAACTCTGCTTCTCCTATGGCTTCCTTGGAACCATTATGTGCCCTAATAAAGAGGCAACTAGAACACTAAATACACATGGAAAGCTAGAGTGACCTGTAGGAAGAAGCACACGTCTTTATCCATCTTCCCCAAATTGGAAAATAAATTTAGGTTTTTCTTTCTGATTTTTATATCTATAATTGGGACCTATACTAAAATAAAAAGCTCCATGCAGTGTACAGAACAGATGTGAAGTAATGAATGGATGCCTTCATCTCCCTCCTGAAAGAGCTTGGAAACAGGATGCGCCCATATCAGCTAACTAGCCAGGGAAGGTATTGCGTGCCTTACGTCGGGAGAACAGTCTGAAACATTTTCTTTTTTCCATTTGGTTTTACGATCAAGTGCGTAACGTTGACTCAAGTAAGGAAGTTTCCTAAATCTAGAATAAGAAATACGAAAGGCGTAGATTTCTTTCCCTTCGGAGTTGCTCATCTTTGAAGTCAAAATTTGAATTCTTGCCAAAGAGAATTCAAAGTAAGAGAAACTGTTTGCCATTGGTGATTATAATTTCTAAGGAATAAAGTCCAAGAGAACAAGTGATTTAGGGAAAAGGATCCAAGTTTTTAATGCTGCAGTTTTAAGATGAAAAAAAATAGGAATTATTCAAGTTAAAACAAATAGTTCCACTGGCAGTGGTGTGTTCCCGAAAATGCTGTTGATTTTTTTTAAAAAAATAATTATGTGAGTACATTAGGGAGATTTAAAAATCCTATGGAGATAGAGATGAAGTAGAATAGGGTTGTCAAGGGATAGGGGGAGGGTATGGGATTTCTTTTGGAAATGCCCTAAAATGGTAATGGCTGCACAGTTTTATTTTTTTTTTATTTATTTATTTATTTATTTTATTTTTTTTTTTCAACGTTTATTTATTTTTGGGACAGAGAGAGACAGAGCATGAACGGGGGAGGGGCAGAGAGAGAGGGAGACACAGAATCGGAAACAGGCTCCAGGCTCTGAGCCATCAGCCCAGAGCCCGACGCGGGGCTCGAACTCACGGACCGCGAGATCGTGACCTGGCTGAAGTCGGACGCTTAACCGACTGCGCCACCCAGGCGCCCCGGCTGCACAGTTTTAAATATACGAGAAACCACTGAATTGTAAACAATAATATAAGGGAGTCTGCACGCATCATTTATGTGCCATGTGGCTCTGGGAGACTTACCTGAGTCAGTGCCACGTGGCCCTCAGTGCCCTTAGCAATGAAATGGGCGTAATAATAACTACCTCTGTAAAATAAAGATAAAATTAAAAATCATTATGCCTTTTCAAAGGTCCTGTGAGGAATACACTTGTGAATCATTTTTTGAAATAAATAGTTTCTTTTTATCTTTCATACAGTACTACTATTTTAGGTCCTATTTGCTTAAAGGGAGGCACCCTCCCCTTCAGCTCCTTGAGTGAAGGCCAGATGTTGTGCCCAGAGAGTAGGGGCGCGAAGACGAATTGGACACGGGCGGTCCTCTGGCCTTCTCTGTGTGGCATCAGGTGCTTATTGTTTTCAGATTCCATGTTTGGCTCCCTCAGTACATTGTCACATCCTTAAGGGCTCAGGGATCAGGTCTTCACATTGGGAGCTCCCTAGCACCGAATTTGACACATAATAGGTTCTCCATAATTGTCCTTTTGTTTTTTAATGTTTATTTATTTATTTTGAGAGAGAGTGGGAAAGGGGAAAGGGCAGAGGGGGAGACGGGATCAGAAGTGGGCTTTGTGCTGACGGCAGAGAGCCTGAGGCAGGGCTCAGACCCACAAACCACAAGATGGTGACCTGAGCTGAAGTCGAGGGCTTAACCAACAGAGCCACCCAGGCACCCCTCCATAATTGTTCTTTAATGGGAATGACCTAATCTGTTGGTAAAAAGGAAACAGGAGGAAGCGAGGAAGCTTGATGAGCCCCTTTTGGGCTAAGTCTTGTGTTTGGCACTTGATACATATTCTCTCATTGGATCCTCGCTACAAACTGAAAACTGTATCACTTGCATTTTTATAAGTGAGAAAAATTGGTCAAGATAAATGCCTTTTTAGAAGAGTTAATTATACTTTGATTGAAGGCCTTCAGTGTGCGAGATCCTAGGGCCTTTTTGCCTCTGTGGCACGCTATTAAGTACTTTTCAGGGACTGGCTTGTCTACAATAAACTAGTGAGGTGAGATAGGAACTAATACTGTTCCCATTTTAAAAATAAGGAAACAAGACTTAGGGGAATAAACTTCTACTCTCACACAGTAAGTGGTAGAGACCTGGATCCTACATGTCATTGTGTGCTTTTTTTTTCCTTTTTTTTTTTTTTT